AAACATAACACGTTCTTTCGAACTTACGAGAGTCCCTCGGAGGAGGTAACCCACGGTTGCTAACGAGATCTCCCCGGTTTAAATGGGTTTCACAACTCGTTTAAACTAAGTAAGTTCAAAAGAAAATAGTGATGCCGGAAGGAGGGAACCGTGGGATCCTAACCGGTGTCGCTCTAATCAACTTGAACCCCCCATTGAAACCGAAACTGTGAAACATAAACTACAATTTTCAAACACTTAAACTCTGGAGCCATCGCGACGACAGGAACCCTGGAGCCATCGCGACGATAGGAGCTTGGAGCCAACTTTGTGGGCAGCCGGACGAGGAGCTTGGAGCGAGCAGCAAGAAGATCTTCTTCAGTATCATCTCTTCCTTAGCATAATAACAACCCATAGGACTTGGGGGTAGCTCGCCTAGAGCGACGTAAATCCTCACCCTCTTTTAGGCCCCTGCACAACCAGGTTGTGCAGCATAAGTCCTAACTCGCTTTAGGTTCCGAGGTTGTTGTGTGGTACGACGTAAACCCTCCTTTCTCTGTGGACTATTTGCATAATCGGGTATTATGCAAATGTAAGTCCCAAATAATGAAATTGGCAGGATTGAACATTTAAATAACATCATCTCTAAAAATGCAGCCACACATTAGGATAGTTTGGGAAGTCACTGAGGGTTCTCCTCAGGATCTGTGACATCCCCTACCTTTTCTTTCCTTTGGACTCCTGAAATAACTGTTCATGTTTGAGCCACTCCCATTTGCCCTTCTACGTCCTACCGTGAAAACCTAAACCTTGAAATCTTGAAGACTAGAACCATTGATCATTATCGAGAGTTTTCTCAAGTGACTCCCGTCATTTGGGATGTAATTAACTATAGGGGCTTGCCTCTATAGGGAACTTGGAACCCAGGTAAAATAAACCCTATTTAATCTTTGTATTAAATAGGGGAATTTGTCGGTCATATATAAAAGGTTCGCAGACCAAACGGATGTCACAAATCTCTTAGTTTGCAGGATTGGGTCTATCGCTGATGTCTACACTTATCTCTCGGGAAGGTGTAGTATTCGCGGTATCAGACACGATTATGCAAACTATCAGACTAATGAGATCCACTTGGTCTCATTTTTTAAAAAAAAAAAACTAAAACATACTACTTTTAAAACCCAAACTATATACCTTTTATACTTAAATTAAATCTCAAAAAATTATTTTCATATATCATATTTTTCAAATAAATCTAACTAATCGAAAAAAAAGTTGACCGACAGGAGGTAGTTATGGAATAACAAGTGACAATAGGGTTTGTCGGCGACATTGGGAATGATGTAAGAAAAAAAATCTACAGTTGAATAGCAGATAAATCAGCAAGGTATGGGTGACAAGACAACAAACCAGAAGTGATAAAATGGGGATTTTAGCAGATGGAAGCACGTTCGATGGCTATCAAGCAAAAAGCAACAAGCATAACAGCAAACAGTAAAACAAAGGCGAAAAAAAAAATCCATCAACAATTCCTGGGCAAGCTACCAGCATACAACCTGCAAAAGGAATAGGCTAAAGCACTTCGGAGAGCATAAATCATAAATAAATTCTCCAAATGCATACTCAGAAAAAAAAAATAAAATAAAATCCAAATAATCTAACATATATATAAAAATCTCCCAATAAGAAATAGCCTAATTAGAAAATAGGAAAATAGAAAAATAGAAAAGAACAAGAAAGTAAAGAAGCAAGGAATGAAACTAACTGAATGTAAATGAAAAAAAAATAACGGAAAAAGAAGCTTGCAATGGCTCCTACGTGCAACAGAATTTTAAGATATAATGTTTTTATGGATGTAGCAATAGCAATATTTTTCAATTTAAAAAAATTCTTTATAAAAGGCCTTGAAGATCCTACATACGAAAAAAAAAAAAAGAACTTTATCAAGTTTGTAGAAAAGCATTTCGTTCTCTATTCATATCAATAGATTCATTGTATCACACTGTAATGCAAGACTTAAAATTTCTAATATTCGTGATGTGATGGATCATACTTACCACTTGCCCGATGAATAGTAAGCAACATGATAATGATTCTTTTATTTCAAAAATAGTGTTAATTTTAAAATGGTTGCACAATTTTCAAAGGAAATGCATGACTACTAAATTGAGAAAACCTCGACTATAAATGGCCTTTAGTCCAAGTAGCATTCTCAAATTTAGATACTTGGAATATTCATCAGAGCACATGTGAATGTTTAGTATTTATTGATGTCATGCCTCTCCATGCTCCTGCAGAATGAACTCACATGATTTTTGATACACTTGTACAATGCATTTATGCAACTACTGATGCACCTGCATATCACATTTCCACAGTTTTTAGTGTATTTACATAATGCATTTGCATGATTTTTGCAATATTTTGATAATTATTTTGTGATGTGTTCACATCACTTGAACATATTCAGAATTCATAATTTGCACAAGTTTTTTACATTGGTTATGTGCAAACATTTTTAATTTAGAATGATTTCTATTTATTTGCATATATGTGTCGGATTCAATAGTGTTATATACAAAAATTAGTCATTTATATACTTCATAAAATGACACTTTTAATTTTATGCATTTGTATTTTAGAAAAACTATTTTTACACATTAGTTTATTTCGTTTTTCAAGCTCAAGTCTTGGGTTCTTCAAGAGTTTGAGTGTTCAAGGAAAGTTTTCCTTGTGTTCCTAGCTGTCTTAAATTTTTTTCTAATTCCCCATTCATGTTTAGTTTCATTTTAATTTTTGTCATTTTATATTCATCTTATGATTCTGCAATTTCAAATTTTAAATGCAATCATCATTTATTTTATTTTATGTAGCATTTATTCCCAAGTTCTTATTTTGCACCGCATGAATCACTTATCAGCATAAAATCTCTCTTGCATAAAGGGTATCTACAGGGTAAATTTGAGCAATCTCCTAAAATCTCTCTTGCATGAGTCACTGATCAGAGTAAATTTAAGAATTATCCTAACCTCTCTCTTGCATAAAGTGTACCTACTGGGAGTCTGGGTCTGCCCACGACAACCACAACAAAAATGCGATGTATAGGTATGTCCAACAGGACATCATGACTGAATCTTAAACTTCGTGCCCAAGAAAAGTGTTATTTATCCTCGTACTAGCAAAAAAGTTTGCAAAAACATTTCCACACCACATCAAGAAAGATGCATCTAATTGATTCCAGTTGGAAGTTAGGGTTATTATTCACATCGCACCAAGAAAGGCATAAATGAGTCTTCTCCCCATTAAAAAAGGCATGTATGAGGCACCTGCACAAGAAAGTTGCAAACAACATAAAATTTCTACAACACATTGGGTTAATGTACATGGATTCTTCGGCATCAGGACAATTGACTTGCACTATACTCGCATGTGCATTGTATTTAGCAAATGACGAGGCAATGGAGCAATCAGCCAGATGAACAAATTTTCTTATTTTTGCCTTCATCTCTCTTTTTTATCCTTTTTTTTCTATCTTCATCTTCCTCCACTTCTTTCTTTCTTTCTTTCTTTCTTTCTTTCTTTCTTTCCTTTTCCTCTTTTAAGTCTACATTAAGAGAGAGAGGGATACTCAACATAAACTTTGTCAAGCAGCAAAATGACAAACCTTAAATCATTCAGCCTTTAGTCTCATTTCTACTTTATTTTATTTTACTCTCAAACGTAGCAAATCTGGGCTTTGGTAGGGTTTAAATTTAATATGCAGACTCAAGAACTCCTCTTTCCTCCACACATACTTGGTCCCATTAATGCCCTCCAATAAGCTTTTGCCATAGCGGTGATGTAACTTCTTCACACAAGTTGGTTCGGTTGTCTCTTTTTGTTGAGTTCACACATGGCTTTTTAACCTTTTATGTCACCAAAGGTTTCGAATATTAGGGAAAAAGCAAAAATGAAAGCAATAAGGGAGAGAAGAGAGCATTTATGAGTGACAGCTCCATTTTGTGAGGCCCATACACCCCTCAAATGCGCCTGTATACGATGAAGAAGCATAGTATGGCAAGCAATGCGCAGGCAAGGACCTTTTTTTTTTTTCTTTTTTTTTTTTTTTTGCTTTTTTTCTTAACAGATCAACGGAGAATAAATCAGGAAGACACCAAACCTTAAAAGGAATCGTAATGGGCCCACTTCTAGCCATTGCCTAGCACGAGCAGTCACACGGTTGAAACATAGCCATTCAGAATGTAATGGAATCCCCTGTTCCACGTTGAAGGAAAACTGCAGGATCAAGATAGAACTACGCTTAGAAAATGAAATAGATACTCCACATGCAATCTATAAAGATGGTAAGATAGTACGTAAAAAAAGAAATATAACCATTGAAGATCCATAGTCATTAGAGCCTGTATATACACCTTCAAGTTTTGAAATCAGCATTTGGTCATATGTATTGCCGCTGCATAGAAGAACTAGAAATTCAATGTGATGAATAACTCAGAAGAATGTATAGCTGAATAAACTGGATTGGTAAGGCTTCAAGTAAACCATTCATCAAGATGAAGCTTAAAAGAAGGCAAGTCACCTCGCGGTTAAAGGGCAATTATAAATATCTCTGATAATGGGATTGCCTTTATCATCACTCGCACCAGCATGCTATAAAAATTCTACATAAAATCAATATATGAAAAGGAAAAGAAAAAAACACAGCTATATCATAAATAATATATAAAGAAAGGTCAAAATTCAAGAAATCCCATTAATCAAAACTGATTAATCGTTAAACACGAAATAATGGAGCAAATAGCATTGCTCGAATACTGGTGTGCATGGTCAAAACTATAATTGCTGAGACCTGATTTTCTGGGTTAAAAAATAATATCAAGCTTTAGTTAACAAATTTTGTGAAATATTAGGATTATCATAATAGTTGATTTTTTTAATATTAATTTGGTTAACTCTTCATCCATAGAAGACCAAATTGTAGAAACGTTAAAATCATAGATCAAACATAATCCTTTCCTGTTTGATGAGGAACATAGTATTTTCTAAATGCTTTAGTGCAGCAGATATCATGAAGTGCATGATCAGAGTTATATATGAATTATGAAGCGCAAAAATTTTGCTGAGATTTCATTCTCTTTCCTATAATTATCAATAAGCTTCATTTCTAGATTTGGATTACCATCCTTCGTTAGATGTGTAATAAGAGACCATCATGGATTAAATGTTACCAATCAATTCATTGTTTACCATTGCTTTGTTTATGTTGTTGCCCATCTTAATGCAATTTATAAAAGAATCTATGACTTAAGATTATAGTATATTGTGATATATATTGAAGCTTACTTTGTCAATAAAGATAATGTTATGCCTTGATTATTAAATATGATTATTAATATGATTACTCTTTAAATCATCTACTGTAGCAATAGAATCATCGAGTAAGATCTATAACAAGTAGAACTAGCTATTTAAGTGTCAAGCACAACACGGGGACATGCGAACAATGCAATAGAGAGCGGGTCTATAAAAGATGAAGTAGAGTAGATGAGCTAATGATCAATCAACCACATTACATTATCTGCAATTTCAACCTATGAAGCAAACAGTATCGTCAAGCATAGATGTGGTCATGGCATCTATGTCAATAAGCACAATACGTAGCCTTACAAGTAAGAATCATAAAGGTTCTTTATGGTAAGAGCACCTAGGAGTGGATATAAGTTTGCATTTACTAATGGAATTTTTATGAATCGAAGGTGGATGGATTCTTTATGATATGTGCGGCAATTAATAGCAATTATTTTCCATAATGATCATTACATAGAAGACAAATGGAATGAATAACATGTTATTTCATGATCTTATTTGAAATAGCTCACTTATGAATTAACCATCGGCCTTTGAGAATGGCATTCATGTGTTACATGTGAGCACTTGTTCAAGAAATTAAGTATCGGGACATTTGTAATCATGCCTGCCAAGTTGTGCAAGGAGAAGGTTGAAGATACTTGACATATGATAGGGCATTGAGTACAAGAAATACTGTATATTCATTTAATGGATGGAAGTGACACTTTAATTTTGAATCTGCGAGGGATCAGTCTAACAAAGAGTTGGAAGCGATCAACTCATGATCCACATTTTAATTTTGAAGTTATGATTGGGAGCTCATGAAAGTTACAATATTACAAGTGTGAGTATTTAAGGCAAGATAACCTCCATTCTAGTTCGATCTTGTGATTTAAAGCACAAGCTTGGCGCCGTGGACTTGCTTTTTTGTCCCAATCTAGTGCCCATGGAGATACCACTGAATGTGCTGACAAACCAACAAATCATTAGCAAGTAAGAGCCCCATCGTTCCATCAAAATAATGTGAAATGGTCCCCACAAAATATACCCAAATTCAAGATATTTAGAAATTTTGAAAACCATGAAAAACAAAGAAGCACTGTAAAAATATTTTGGTTGTGAGCACCCTATAGTGAGATAATTCCCATTAGAAAAGAAAGATTATATTAATTTTTAATTTTTTTTCAATAGCTTTATAAATTAAAGCTCAAATGAATATTTAGTTAATCTTTTTTTTACTTTTTTTCTTTTTTTTTTTTTGGCTAACATTGCAAAAGTGACATTGAAAGTGTCATGCACTCTTTTGGAGAGTGCTAAAAAAAAAAAGAAAACATACGCCGCATGTGGCATAGTTGGGGACAATTGAAAGATACTATAAAGGCCTCTTGTGCTCTGCTAAGAGTGTGATAAAGAAATTGTCTTCTTCGGAGTGCTACATGTGACAAAAATGCATGCTTTTAGAAGTGTAACATACAACTTTTTCGAGGCCACATATGCCTAGCACAATGCCATACACATTTATGGAGGTGCGGTGGGATGGTATGCCAATTCATTTACTAAGCCTTAAGCAAGGTGATGGAGAAGTGTGGCTGAATATTATTTGGCACTGACAAGCATATTTTGCTTAATTGCTCCACCTTTGTAGACCTTGTAAGAGAATTCTAAAAACCCATGCATGCCGTTGGAGAAAAATAAAGTTTTAGCTTGAAAAAAGGTACGTCGGACATTACTAGTACGTGCTTTTGGTAGCATGTTTATAGGCCATGTTATGGATGCAATGCCATGTGCATCATACATGATATCATGTGTGATATTGGAAATGTGGTTCAAGGGCCTGGTAGAATTTTTACTAGCCCCCCTTGCATATGGGGGAGTGCATAGATGTGCTATCAAAAACTCAGATAAAACTATGCAAATAGAAAATATGGCACAATGGAGCCACAAACTAGAAAAACAAAAACAAAATCAAGAACTTAATAAAAAAGTGAAACAAACCACGTACTTGCAAATGCAAACTTTCATTATCTCATTGTAGCATACAGCAAACATAAATTGGGCCCCAATTGACTTATAGGCAAGCAAGGTTCCCCAAACCTACTGTCAAAATTTAAATAACCAAATTATTCCAAAACATAACATTAAAAGATGTGCAAGAAATTCTAGAACCTTGGAACTCACCTAACGTGGTTAAACTAAGAGCTAGAGTCTCTGTTAAGCTCCAATTACCTTAAAACCAAAGTAAAAATTACGAAACTATTACAAATCTAAAATAAAAATACCACTAGAACATCAAAAAACCATGAAACGCGAACCATATTCTCTTCCGAAAAATATAAAAGATGCAGACCACTCAAACTTACATAGAACGACTTTCAAACTGAATATCAAATCAAGTTAGCACGATCAAGTACACAATAGAGCAGCAAGAGATGAAAGAACCTTGCTAGATAAGAGATTGCCTAATCCCAATCCCTAGACAATATCCAAAAGATCCTAGAGGTCAATAGTGATGTATTTACTTGTATAATGCATCTTGAGATTCGATAAACCATTTTCAAGCTTTGTCAAGATATTTGAACCTGCTTCTACATAAGGCCTTTAGGACTATATATGACAAAATTCACCAAACAAATCATCTTTCTCTCATCCTTCCATGGGGTTGTAAGTCATGTCTTGCCCTTGGGTCACTCCACCATTGTAATTGTAAATCCCATCTTGGTGCATCCCTCACCATCAAAATTGTAGGTCATTATGATTGGGTATCATAAAGATACCTAGTACTTAGATCGAACTAGTTCATAGCCACCAAGCCCATTGTGTCAAACCCTTTCTTTGGCATACTTGTCAACTATGAATTGCACATTATAGATATAGCCATTGATTATAGAGCATTACAGAATGCAAAATATTTAAATTTTAAAATATTGTAAGGTCATTTCAAGTGAGAATTTATGTACCCAACATCATTTATTAGTTTTAGATTTTAAAAGTAAGAGTTGTAAAATAAAAAATACTAGGGCTGATCATCATAGAATTAGATGGAGAAATTTAAAAGACAAATAAAATTATTTTTATGAGTAAAATTCAATATTTCAAAAATTGGGATATTCATGAAGAAGCAAATGTTATGTAGGATAAAGTAACAAACACTATTAAACAAGTAGCAAAAGATGTGCTTGGAGAATCAAAAGAAAAAGTTTTTATAATTAAAAATAGTTGGTGGTGGAATAATAATGTGCAAGAAAAGATAAAATATAAGAAGTTATGTTATAAAAATTAGTTTAAATGTAAAAGCTTAGAGAACTGGAAAAAATATCAAACGACTCGCAGGGAGTCTAAAAGAACAATCTGTGATGCTAAAAATTCTGCTTTTAATGATCTTTATAATATATTAGATACTAAGGAGGATGAAAAATATATGTATAAGTTAGCTAAACAAAGAGAAAAGAAAAATAAAGATTTAACTCAAGTAAAATGTATTAAAGATGAAAATCAAAAAGTACTTTTCTTAGAAAAA